AAAGAGAATTCTTTCCATGTAAGAGAAAGACAGCTTGGCTTTAGCAATTAGGTTTGCTTTTACAGTCCCCTTCCACATAATGCTTGGATCTATACACTTCAATGTATAAAGTTTCTTATTATCAGTGTGCACAAAGATCTCTCTGTCCCCATCCACAGAGTGACATTTAATTCATGCAAAGGGAGCTTAGCAGGTAAGGGGGGATGGGAGAGAGAGAAAGGAGTGTTTATACCTGGCATTCTTAATCCTGCCCTGTTGGTCACTGAAAAGACAAACAGAGAAAGAATTAGAGAGAGAAATTAGAGAGGACTGAAGGGTTTGATTGTTAAATTAATGCGATAGCACATACTTTAAAAGGTGCAGGAAGAGGGCAAATCTGATGACTAATGCAGTACAAACATGACACATCTCTTTATCTCATATTTACAGTTAGGAAAAAAGAGCAACAGCAAGGGAAATGTCCACTCCACTCAACAGACACACCCAGACGATGACTTCATAGCACATACAAATGATTCCTTGACTTTCCAAAACAATTAGGACGAGTTAAACTCAGGAGACTGACTTTATTTTGAGATAAAGCATCTCTCCAAACTCGGCATTGTCTTTGTCTTTTTTGGGTTATTTCTGCTAGTGGACGATTTGTCTAATCCAGTGGGTGGCGAGCACTTAGTTCAGTAAAACCAAAGGGTTAAAGTAATCATCCAAAGCCCCTTAAGTTGCTATGTAACGTGACTACGTCATTCACTCTCCTTCAGGCAGCACTCCCTACTGCACCCCCAGCTGAACTGCAGACATGTCTGTACAGTAGTGAACTGGTTCTCCTCGATTGGCTTTGGTGTCACAGTGCAGTGTGCAAGAGATTTTCCCCTGGAGGGTAACATACATTACAGCAGGTATTGAAATTATTTCAATACACCCATCACTGCCTTTCTTTCCCTGTTAAGTGAAATTAAATTGCACTGATGACGTCCGATGCAATAAAATGATCGAACATGCAGTCCTAACATGGTGAAAAACTCTGACGTGTCAGATTTGGTCATATAGATCCTGGCAAAAGTCCTTGTGCCGGAAAAATTGGGTGTTTATTACCCGATCGTTCTCTACTGTGCTCTAAAGGACAAACCTTGGAATCTGTGTAATATTCAGAGCAACATGGATTTATTCTAGTAAGAGCTGCTGTTGTTAAAAATAACATCTCTCAATACTCTGAGCAGCATCCAGTGTAAAACCTCCATTCACCTCCTCTGTATTTATGTGGGCACTGAAACATCCAAATACAGATCTCTGAGATTCACAAATGTGAGTGTGAAAACACGAACGTTATGATTTGGCTCAACGGACCCTTTAAGTTGAAATCAACAGGGAACTCAATCGTGTTAGGAGCAAGTTATTTCAAGAGCAATAAACAGACACATTCAGCAGATTAAAGCTCTATCGCCATGGCGATAACGGCACCTTACCTGCCCAGTTTATCTTTATCTGGGTCCATGTCGCTGAGAAGGAGAAAACAGGAGATATAAGTTTCAGCAAGACGACAGGAACACATTCAAATAACCAGAGCATTTCACAAAGGGTTCACTGGGTTGAGTAGGTTTGCTTTTCAGTCTGTTCAATATTTCATGGTGCAAAAGATTATGTGTGAGGGTTCAGTGGCATTTCAGGCTGATTGATTGAGTTTGCTAGATCTACTAACATCGAGTCATGTTTGAACTTACTCAAATGAGAAGCCATCAATTCTGCAAAGAAACACAAATTTATTAATCAATCTTTTGTCACTGAATGATTCAGATCATTATGTTTTGTTTTAAACAACGTGTAAAGTGTTAGCAACATTGGCTAACAGTGTTTAAGGACACAAATGTTATGAATATTGTAGCACACCTGCAGCAATGAATGCAAAAGACTTTGTGTCTCCATAATCAGACATGGTTAATAAGACTGAGTGTATCTAGTCATTTCACTTTATCACTTCCCATAATTCTCAGTCTGTATATTTTTCCCCTCTGCTGGTAAGTCAAACGGTAGTAGCAAATATGTTTATATTACCAATAAAGTGAGCATTTGAGCTTCTCTTCCTTCCTTGTCTACTTACTGGTAGTCGGTGGTGCTGCCTTTCCTTTTGCGGGTGTAGTCCATGCCAGGCGTGCTGATGGAACTGGAGATGAGGTCAGTGGAGCTGGGGGACATGAAGTCGGTCATTGTAGACGAGATGTCCATCCTTTGGTCTGCCATCAGGTCATCTGCACGGCACAATGAGACACTGAGCTTAAAAAACAGACATATCTCTGTGTGCGCGGATTTAAGGCCTTTATACACAAAGTGTCACGAAAAAAATGAATAAATAAATAAAAATAAAATTAAAAAAACCAAGATTCCACTCTTTTGTTAGTTTGTTTTTTTAGGTACGAACTGGTCGTGTAAAGCGTATACACACTGAAAGCAGTCTGTTTTTGTGAAAAATGCACTGCAAAAGTTGCTTCACATGTTTCTGAACAAGAAAAGGAAGAAACTGAGATTCTGGGTTCATCCAATTCTCAGGTGAAGGCAGCAGCAGGGAGAATTTCATGGTTTGATCCAGGAGTTGAGGCTGTATCGATACCACCTTTCGATGTCAGCGGGGCAGTTCAAGCTCTTCTTAGCAAAGGTGGAATCACATCAAAGAGGCAGAGAAATCCTTTCAGAGAACAGACTGACGCGCAGCAGTGTCTAGCTGCCTGTCTGAGCTAAAAATAGGGTCATTGTACTATTTCCATATCATTGAGCATAGGACTGTGCGATATGACAAAATGAAAACGTCTATCGTTTCATATTATAAACTATCGTTTGTTTCGTGGTGTTGCA